GCCCCTCTCGGAGAGCCCGGCAAGCTACCGAGAGTATTCGATATGCCAGACACAGTAACAACAAAGTCTCCAATGGAGACGTTACTGGGCCCGCTCGAGCAAATCGATGATCAACGGGAGGACTGTGACTGTGACTGTGACCTCATGGCCACGTGAGCGTAGGAGCCGGATGCTCAGACACGCCTTCGTGCAAACAACTGCTTATTTCCCAGGATGCCTCCACTCCCGCCTTGTCTCATCCTTTCCCCTCTTTAACACGAACCCAAACAAAATCAGCTTTTTCAAAGACGGAAAATCCAGGACTCAACAACAGAATCACTGAAAAGGCAGGAAAGCTCTTGCTGGGCACGTAGCTGCAAGGTTTGAATCCCCCAAACCACATTAGGCCCCTGAGCAGCACTAGGTGTGGCCAAACCTCCCCCCTACTCCAACCCCCCCCCCCAAATATGAAAAGAATAGAATTAGGTGAAAAGTAAAAAGTGCACTGATCGAAGCTGCAGAGATCAGGACAGCCACTTTGGGCTGATGGGCACCTTGTGACTTTCCCAACCCTGCGACCCCCTCCCACCCCCCACCAGCGAGGCAAAGCAGGTGTTTTCCAAACCCATACCTGTACTTCACAAATGCCAGCAATTGTTTTTTTTTTTTTTTTTTTGAGCCACAGCCAGCAGTGCTCGGGGCTTACTCCTGGCTCTGTACTCAGGGATCACTCCTGCCAGGGCTTGGGGAACCCTGTGGCATGCTGGGGATCAGATACGGGCCAGCCACATGCAAGACAAGCACCCTCCCCGCTGTACTATCTCCAGCCAAAGGACTCTTTGTTTTTTAGTGCTCCTTTACCCTGATTGCTATAGTAGGGGCTTAAGCGCCTTTCGTGGAAGTCCTCTGTGCCTCTTGAGGCCTCACTGCTAATCCTCTGCTTCCCCCCGGGGGCAGGGCTTGGAGGCCCGGTCCTGAGCCCTGACACTCCCTCCAACCCCACCCAACCTGCTGACAGCCAGCCGGAGCAGTGTTTGTGCTGGAACATTCCAGCCTCCAGGCGGGCGCTGTCTTTGTTCTAGCTCTTCACCCGCCTGGTCGATTAGCTAATGATCCTTTCCAGCAAGCTTGTAGTTATTCATTATTAGACGTTTGCTGGGGCCCCCAGCCTGCCGGCCACCAAGGGCCAGAGAGAAAGCCAAACTTCCTCCAGTTGTTTGAAAAGGAAATTACTGCAGGGCATGAAGAATAAAGATGATGCAAGCGGGGAACAGGAAGACGGTCTCCGTGGGGGAGGCCGCTGTGCAGCGCTGCGGGACCCTTCATCAAGTTTAGAGAGCAAACACTGGGGTCCTCCACCAACACAGAGATGGGGCCAAGGAGGGTCTCCCTGCCCGGGAAGCAAAGATCCGGTCAGCCTCAGAATCTCTGGCGCGAGGCTGGTTTCCTGGGACGGCTCAGAGGCCTGAAAGACAATGACAAGCAAACTTCGAAGGGCGTCTCCCTCGGAAAGCCTCATCTCATGTGTGTGTGTGTGTGTGTGTGCGCGCATATATGTGTTTCCATGTGCATGTGTGCATGTGCGTGTGTGTGCATATGTGTTTCCATGTGCATGTGTGCATGTGTGCATGTGCGTGTGTTGTGTGCGCGCGTGTGCGCATGCATGTTTTGGGGGTTGTGGAGGAGCAGGGCTGAGGGCTGCTTCCTGGCCCTCTGGGGCAGCCTTCCTGTGGCCCGGTCTGAGCTGAAGCCGCCTGGGTGAGGCCCCTGCCCGCCTGGCTCTCTCCTGCGCAGGCAGACAACTGGGTGGTTATTAAGCGTCTTGTTCTCATCGCTCCACCTGCTGCTTGCTTTGGCGTTTGGCTTAGCTTCGTCTGCTTCGGGCCTAGGGGCGATCTGGATGGAGCCGGCTGGCTGTGCGATCACACCCCATGCTGCCGCTCGGCTCCTTTACACAGTGCTCACGAGCTTTACCCAGGCCAAGCATGCCCCAGCCTGCCGCCTGCCTTGTTCCTTCCTCCCTCCCTCAGACCCCTCCTTCCCGCCTTCCCCTCCCTTCCCCAACTGTCTCTCTCTCTGGTTTGGGGCCACGCCCAGCAGTACTCAGGGATGACTCCTGCAGGGCTCAGGGGACCCGATGTGGCCCTGATCCGGGCGTGACGAAGCGGTCTCCGTGTTCACTCACACTTCTCAGATCCTTCCATACTGGAAAGGCTGGACAGACCGAGGAATCAAGGTGCTCAGAGCTGGAAAGTTTATTGAAAGTCAAGAAACTCCTTAGCTGGGAAGAACTTTAGGACTGAATCAATCGTGGCCCACTGAGGGGGTGGGAATGGGGGAGGGGGAGACTGGGGGTTGTTTCTAGGGCAACCAGCATTTGTGATTCTTATCCAGGTGTCAGAGGGGGCTCGGTTGTTTCTCCTGCTAACGCAGGGCCCATCTGTGCTGCTAAGATGAGCATCTTCCGCTCCACTTAGGCTGCCGGAGACTGTTTACTTCAGACCCGGAGGCTTCTGCATGACAGGCGGCCCAGGTCCCTCTCCCATGAGCCCCCGGCCGAGGCAGAGCTGGTAGCCCCGGAAACCAGGGACTTGCAGGGACGTTTAAAGATGCAGGAGGAGGTCTGCTAAGCTGGAGGGGAACCTGAGGCATTCTTATCTCCACCTGGACAGGGTTCAGCCTCTCAGGAGCTACCCGCCCCCGCAGGGAGGGGAGACCATGGACAGAGGGGCTGAGCCCCTGGGTCTGGAGCCCACAGGGTGGCGGGTGTGAGCCTGCCTGCAGTCCAGCCCTGGGGGCTCCTCAGAAAGCCTACCTCGTCCGGCTCCGTGCTGGTTTGGGACCCTCGCTGGCCGGGGCCAGCCGGGGTGGGAGCAGCCCTCCCCCCGCCCCCTGCCACCCCTTCCCTGCACTTGCAATGGTCTTGCAGACCCCGCAGGGAGGTCCTGGTGCCTCGAGCTCTCCCCTTCTGTTGTTCTATCTGTTGTGACTCATTAGTGTGTCTGCCTGGCCTTAGCCCCGTGTGCGGGGAGCCACCAGCGGGTCCCTCCCTTCCCGTCCCCTGACGGGCGCCTGCTGCGGGCAGGGAGCTGGGCGCTGCAGTCCCCAGGCCGGTGGGAGAGGGGACGTGTGGGGACACTGTGGGACAATGGGGACAGCATCGTGTGTCCAGGGACAAACCCCGGGGGCCCTCACCCCAGCCAGCAGGAGCGTGTCCCTGCAGAGACCCACGGACCCAACACCACCCCCGGGGACACTACCCTGCGGGGCTGCGGCTGTCCTGCGGACATGCCTCCCTGCATGGCTGGTGCCTGTCCAGGAGCATGGCCGTGCGGGTGCACAGCGTCCCCAGCCCCCTCACTCGATGTCAGGGGAAGCCCTAATGCGCAGCGCCTACACAGGACGGCCTGCAAAAACTCGGCCGCCCCTCCCCACCCCACACACACTCATGACCAGGCCAGTGCCCTGCCTGGTTAGGGGCTGGGTGAAGGAACAGTCACCGGGGCCATCCAGGATACGCGCCCGGGGGCGTCCCAACTGCTCCTCAGGCCGATTAGGGTGAACAGCAGAGGCACGAAGTGGGGGACGCCGTGGACCTCCCAGTTCAGCGGCCATCCAGCAAGTCTCATGCCAAGTTCAGTTGTCAGTGTGGGGTCAGCGTTGGCTGAGGCCGGGGCTCCCGCTGCCCTGGTCCGGACTTCACGAGGGCGGCGGGCGACGCAGGAAGGAGGAAGGACCCAGGGGGGTCTGTCTCTTAGGGGCGTCTCCCAGGCTGCTCGCCCCCCCAGGGCACCTCACTACAGTCCGGGGGCTGCACCGGGGAGCAATTGCCCAGGGAAACAGAGGAGGAATTCTGGGGGCTTCTGACGGACTATGGTCTGGCTGGGTCTCAGCGCACCCCCCTCTCAGAGGGGGATTCTGCCTCACCTTCCCCACGAGAGAGTGGCTGGGGTGAGCTTCCCTGCAGTCCCCACCTGCCTCTGGGTTGCACTGGGCTGGTCTCTCCCAGCCTGGATGTTTTGTGGGGCCTAGAGGGGAGGGCGGGGTCCAACTTCTCAGGGAAGTCAAATTGCAACAATGTTAAAAGGGATAAAAAATGTATCAAAACTCCTACCATCCTGTTTTTTTTTGGCGGGGAGTTACATACCTAGGAGAGCGGGTAGGGCATTTGCCTTGCACCAGGCCGACGCTGCAGAGCCGGGTTCAATTCCTCTGCCCCCCTTGGAGAGCCCAGGCAAGCTACCCAGAGTATCTCACCCGCACAGCAGAGCCTGGCAAGCTCCCCGTGGCATACTGGATATGCCAAACACAGTAACAAGAAGTCTCACAATGGAGACGTTACTGGGCCCGTTGGAGCAAACAGATGAACGAGGGGAGGACAGTGCTACAGTGTTACATACCTAGGAATGGGACAGTAGGCAGCCTAGGGGTGGTGCTCAGGGGACCTATGGGGCACTAAGGCCCCCACCTGGGTCAGCCGTGGGCAGGGCACATGGCCTGGTCTCTCAGCCTCCGTCCTTACTGTTTTAAGTCTCCCATTGCCGGCCAGAGGCAGGCACCTGTGGGGAGGCCGTAAGGAAACAAAGTCCTGTGTCTGCCCGCCAGAGGTTTCCAAAGGCACAGGACAGCCAGTATATAGGGGTCGCAGGGCAGGGGAGGTACCCAAAAGTGTTTGGGGGTCCATGTGGAGCCAGGGATCAAACCCGGCTCCCCGGCAGGCTTTGCAGGTGCTACAGGCCCCCTCTGGGTGGTCTCCCGGACCCCTACAGTCTGTTTTCAAGCTGCCCCGGCACCCCCAGGCCCAACCCCAACCCCACCGAGTTCAGCCGAAAGTTCCCCCAAGTCCTCACCCGCCCCCCCAAGACCAGCCTCGTGGCAGGGTCTTGCTCCGCCCCACGGCTCGTCTCTGAGGAAAGGACACAGGCCTCTGTGGCTTGGTGACAAGTTGTATTCAGTGCCGCTGCTGGACCCTGAAACGCGTTCTTCACGGCAACGGCGGCTGAGCCTTCTCTTCAGGGCATCTAAAGCTTTTTTGTCGGATAGAAGAAATCCGCGGGTCCTATCAGAGTTTCCCCCTTTTTTGAGTCTCTGAAACGGAAACAGAATCATATGGAGTCACTTCTCACCACACACGGCAGAGTTTGTGTGGGGTGCACTATAATGCAGGGGCTTTACCTTTGAAAACCAATCACTGACAGCCTCAGGCTGCCCCTGATCAGTAGGGGTTTGGTTGGGTTTTTCTTCGGGGGTGGGTGGGTGGTTGTTTTGGTTTCGGGGCCATACCTAGTGGTGCTCAGGGGTAACTCCTGGCCCTACACTCAGCAGTTACTCCTGGCGGTGGTCGGGGATCACATGGGATGCCCAGATAGAACCCGGGTTGGCTGTGTGCAAGGCAAGCGCCCTCCCCACCGTGCTGCCTCTCCAGCCCCCCGGGGCCAACGGTTTTCCAGCCTCAGAAAGAAAGCACCCTCTTTTCCTGCACAGAAGGGGCGTGGGCTGCTTGGTGCCAGATAATACTCTGGTGACAGGATTCTCTCTGGTCTAACAACGGCGACCCCTTGTATTGGAAGGTTCCATCCGGTGGGGAGCACATGCTGCCACGGCCACTGGTCACCCCCGGAGCTGCAGAAGCCCAGTCGGGGGAGGCGAGAGCCCCACCCGGGCATGTGGACTCACTTCCTGGCTGCTGAGCGTAAGCGCCCGTCCAAAGGACAGAGAGAAGGGGCTGGGACAAGGCCAGAAGGGGGCGTTGGCACCCCCAGCTGGGGGGGGGTGGGGGGGGAGAAGCGGAACAGTCCTGACAGCTGCACCAACACCCGGGCCAGACCCCAGGTCCAAGCACTGAGCCAAAGAGCAGGCCCGGGCAACTCGGGACCAGGGAGCTGGTGCTCCAGAGGCTGGCGAGAACCTAGCACACGGCTGGCAGGGGCCAAACGCTGACATCCTGGGGGATCCCAGGTCTGTTTGGGGGTGCAGGGCATCTGGACACTCTTTTGCACCCAAACTGGAGGGTCAAAGCTGAGGCTGCAGGCGGGTACCCGGGAGACAACACTAGGGACCGTCTCTGCCTGCTGTGGTAGGGAACTAACTAGCACCACCGTCACGACCTGCACAAGGCTTGAACCCCTTGGGGCCTGAGCGTGGGGAGGGTTTTTGCCTTGCATGCGGCTGGCCCTGGCTCAACCCCCGGCATCCCATATGGTCCCCCAACCCCCCCAGGAGTGATCCCCAAGTGCAGAGCCAGGAGTAACCCCTGTGCATCGCTGGATGTGACCCAAAAAGCCAATCAATAAAGATGTGAACTCTCGCCACTACCAGGCACCTCGCGTCAGAGGCAAGCAAGAAACGGGGTTGGCTGCATGCTGGGGGGACAGCAGAAGCCCCCTAGAGCTCGTTCCACTCCCCCCCGGCCCCGGTGAGGCCTCCGGAGCCACACTGGGTAGAGTGTCCCCTGAACTGAGGAATAGGAGAATCTGGTCAAGAGAAAGGATGAGAATTCTTGAATCAGAATTCACCACACTGAACGACACAGCAACTGAACTAAAAAGCACCGTGGAGGGAATCAGCCGCAGGATGCTCCACGGGGGATAGAGTGGAGGACAGGATTCAAGGAGTCGTCCAAACGGACTCGAGGAGAAGCAAGCCAGAAAGTAAGAAGGCCAAATAATACCCCCCAAATAGCCCCTAAAACATAAAACAAAATGAATATTGGCCTAGTGAAGCTCAGAGTGAAAGACTCGCTGGCACTGGGCTCCCACACCTGCGTCTTGTCATACCGTGGGTATTCTCATCCCTCATCTCGTGTACCTGTCTCGGAAGGGGCGGGCAGGGAGGGACACGGGGTGGTACCAGCAAGGACGGGAGGGGATCTGGGGCTGTCTGGAACGGGAAGGGATGTGGACAAAAGCAGGGAGGGGGTCCAGAGGCTGAGGGGGCTCAGGGTGGGGAGAGGGTCCAGTCTGAGGAGCTCAGGGCCAGCAGGATGGGGCTGGGCCTGGGGCCGCCCACCTGCTGCTGGCATCTGCACCCGCCCGCCCCCACCCCGAAGCTGCAACACTCATCCCTAGGGTGCCCTGGGCTGAGGTGTCCCCCAGCCCCCCAGTCGGAAACCCCCAGAGAGGCCCGAGCCCATGAGAGTCCCCTGGGCCGAAATTCTCCGGATTTCCAGAATGGTCCCGGGAACCCGGCGTGCCACTGGACACACACGCGCCCCACGCAGCCCTCCTGTCCCTTGCTCTGCACGCACATGGTGGTCCGGAGAGAGGCGAGGTAGGCCTGCATGTCCGACTCGGGCCCCGGGCTCTCCAGCCGCCACAGGTACTGGTAGATGCCCGAGAAGAGCTCGAAGGGGATTCGGGCCGGGCCGCCCTCCGGGTCAGTGGTGAGGATCTCACACACGTTCTGCATGGCCGAGTTCAGCGTCTGCAACACAGCGAGGGCCGTCACCCCGAGGCTGTCTCTCTGAGGGCAGGCACCCCGAGGGCAGGCACTCTGAGGGCACTCACCCCAGGACAGTCACCCTGAGGACAGGCACCCTGAGGGCAGGCAGGCCAGAGCCCCCGTGCAGCTCAGGCCCGGCTCGGTTCCGTTGAGCGGACGGACCCTGGGCCTTGAGCCCTCGATGGGGTGTGAGCCCAGAGTTGCTGGGAACTGCAGGTGCAGAGGGACGGGGAGCTTTTGCATACACCCCCGGCCCTAGTGTGACCCCCAGGTTGCCCATGTCTGGGCTCGCCACACCACAGCTGTCTGGGGCACAGGCGGGTGGGGTTTGTATGTATGTATGAGTGTGTGTGTGTGTGTGTGTGTGTTTGAGTGTTAGTATGTGTGCGTAAGTGTGAATGTGTGAGTGTGTATGTGAGTGTGTGTGAGTGTATGTGTGTGCGCGAGTGAGTGTGAGTGTGTGTGAATGTGTGTGTGTGAGTGTGTGTGTGTGTGAGTGTGTGTGTGTGAGCCCCATGTCAGGGAGGCAGGGCAGCGAGCTTGGGGGGGGGCACTGCGGCTCATGTCCCTGGCACTGGGCTGCCAGCCAGCGGCCAGGGAGTGGTCCCCAAGCAGACCCCACAGCACCACCCAGGACTGAGGGACCCTGTGGAGCCACTGCAAGAGCAGCTTGAAGGGAAGAGAAAGGGAGAAGGAGACCGTGGACACCCCCAGGGGCCCTGCGGAGCACCCCCCTGGGCTGGGTGCCCCCGAGGCTGACCAGAAGGAAGCGTTGCCTCTGAGCAGGGGTGGGGGAGGGGAGGGGGGCTGGGCACGCGGCTGCCTCAGAGGGGACCCGGGAGGGGGTTCATGAGCTGCAGGGGCTGGGCTGGCTCAGAGGCAGAAGTGAGGCCAGGACTCCGGAGGCACCGGCTCAGTGACCCTTGCTGGGGGACAGGCTCCGGCGGGTGCAGCAGCCAGCAGGGCGCCTGGACCTGGCCCACAGTACCCCACGGGGAGGGGTGCGGGTGACTGCCGGGGGCATTCGTGCCCTTTCTCGAAGTCACAGCTGTGTGGGGCCAGCAGACGGCCGCAGACACCAGCGCCTAGGCTTGGCACGCGGGAGGCCCAGGTTTGGCCCTCCGCACCTGAGCCCCCACAGAACGCAACCCCGTTCACACACCGAGCCACTGGGTGTGGCCCAAACACAACAGACCCTACAACACGAGCATCTGGGAGGGGCCTGAGGGCCTACAGACAGCGAGCGAGCACTGGGAATGAATGATGCACTTCCCAGGAGGCACGGCCAGCAGCCTGCAGGAGAGGAAGCCACCCGTCCCCTCTTCCTGAGTGCCCCCCGCACTCCCTCCCAGTCCTCAGAGACAGGGGTAGGGGTGGTCCAGGCTCTACTGGCACACCGCAAGGGCCCTGCCTGATGCTGGAAGAAATTTCAACTAACGCCTAAAGATGTCATCTGCCTCCTCCCACAGCTTCCTCTTTGCCGAGTGGCGCCTGGTTTACTTAATTTTGCTTGGTTTGGTTTCGTCCTGGCAGTGCTCAGGGGTGACTCCTGGCTCTGCGCTCAGCGATCACTCCTGGCAGTGCTCGGCAGGGCACCCATGGTGCTGGGGATCGAACCCGGTTGGCCGCGGTCCAGGCAAGCGCCTGCCCTGCTATGCGGCCACCTGGCATCACACGCGGTTTGATCAAGAATCACGGTGCACATTCCCCTCCCAAACCCATCAGACCGCTCTGGGACGTGCTGATGCCAGCCCGGCACACACGGGCGCAGACGCACACCCATCGGAACTAAAGCCCCCACCAGCCTGGGCCGACCCCACAAGGACCAAGACTGATTCTCAGCTCCTCTGCCCCCCCCCCCCCGCATTGCCACACATGGGTCGCCCCCTCCTCCCCAGACTGGGGACGGCACGTACCCCACTGAGCGAGCTGCAGCACAGCGCCAAGAATTTGACCCACTCGACCTTCTCCTTGCAGGGGTCCAGGTCCAGGATGGCCTTCAAGCTCTCCATGGGCAGGCACAGGTTTCTCCATTTCTTCTCCAGGTCATCCAGGTTCACGAACTGCTTGTGGCCACACTGTTCGGAGAAACAACACAGCCACCACGGTCGCCTACGTTGGGAGCCTGCAGATGGCGCCGGGCTGGGTTCCAGGGGACACACCCAGCAGGATCCGTGCCCTCCACCCCGCTCCCCGCCCTGTGCTCACTGGTTGGTCTTTTCTTTTTTTAACTTGTTTAATTTTTGCCTTTCTGGGGGATCACACCCAGCGATGCTCGGGGCTTACTCCTGGCTCTGCACTCAGGAATTACCCTGGTGGTGCTCGGGGGACCATATGGGATGCTGGGGATCAAACCAGGGTCGGCCATGTGCAAGGCAAACGCCCTCCCCGCTGTGCTATCACTCTGGCCCCACTGACTGGTCTTTTATTCGGGGACCACGCTGGCAATGCTCAGGGGTTACTCCTGGCTCTGCACTCAGGAATTACCCTGGTGGTGCTCGGGGGACCATATGGGATGCCGGGGATCGAACCCGGGTTGGCCGTGTACAAGGCCAACTGCCCTCCCCACGGACCACCTCTTGGAGCCCTGCAAGTGGCCTTTCAGCCCAGGACGCCTCCCTTCCCGCATAGCACTGGTTCCCGGGGGACACAAGGTTGGCGCTCAGAAAGGCCCCGTGGGGACAAGCGTTTTCAAAGTCAGAAACACAGGCCAGGACAATAGTATAGCGGGGGAGGGGGCTGCCTTCCTTCGGCCCCATTTGTTCCCACAGCCCACCGGGCATGTGCCTGACTGCAGAGCCGGGAGAAAGCCCTGAGCACCTCTGGGTGTGGTCCCCGAACAAAACAAACAGAACAACCCCAGAAAGGTCGGACACACAGGCTGGAGAGATCGTTCAGCGGGAAGTATGCACCCAGTTGACCCGGGTTCGATCCCCAGCACCCTACATGGTGCTCTGAGCCCCACCAGGAGTAAGCCCTGAGCCAGGACTAAGCCCTGAGCACTGCTGGGGGTGGCCCAAAAACAGAACAAGAAATCACACACACACACACACACACACACACACACACACACACACACACACTCGGCAAGCTCAGCAATCCACACACTCATGAGGGTCTCCTCTTCCTCCAATAATACAAGCCCAGAGGGTGGGTGGAGGGCTCTGGGGCCAGGCCGTGCGCAAGCCCCGAGAGCAGAGCCCAGCAGCGTGCGCGGACACGGGTCTCCTCCTTCAGACTCGATCCCAGCCGCCTCCGGGGTCTCGGTTCCCCAGTGTCCGGCGAGGGCACAGCTGGGGTCGAGGGTGAGCAGCCCGCCCCATCCCGCCGGCCACCCGCACGGCCCCGGCCACCTGCTTGTGCAGGGTCTTGAGGAGCCCTTGCGTCAGCCCCGTGTCTGTCTTCTGCGTGGCCACGGGCATCTCGACCCTCTCCTTCACGGGCAGCGGGTCCCCTCTGGACAAGGCGGCGAAGTACCTGCAACGACAGGACAGGCGCGTTCCGGCCACCCTGGACACCGCCGGATGTGGGCCGAGGCCCAGCTCCTTCAGAGTCAGGCACCCGATGGCCAGGGCGGGTGAGGGCGGGACATGCGCTCTGCGCGCTCAAGGCCCCAAGTCCCATCCCAGGAACCTCATGGCCAGCATCCCGCTGCCCACTGGCAGTACCAGGGGTGGCCCTGGGCCCCCTCCCCTCACGTCCAGTCCAAGGCCACGTGTTCCCCCTGAACATGGCCTGGAGATTAGCCCCCAAGTGCCCCAGAGGCATGTCTGTTTCTGACCAGGCTCCTGCCCTCCGCCCTGACCCTCTCCTTCAGCCCAACTCCTAACGTCCTTCACAACATTTACTTGTTCGGGTGGGGGCCACACCTGGCAGTGCTCAGGGCTTACTCCTGACTCTGTGCTCAGGGGTCAGTCCTGCTGGGGCTCAGGGCCCCGAGGGGAGAACAGGATTGGGGTCTCCCTGAGCCCTGCACCATCTCTCCAGACCCTGTTACTGAGAGAAGCTAGCGGCAACCAGGCTTTCAGAAAGCTGTTGATTAAGCCTTTAACATGACAATGAAGCTTAAAATAGCAGTCGCTGAGGTGTTTCCCAAGGAAAGAGCAAATCTGGGAGTTTCTGGTCACGTGAATAAACTCTCCTGTACCCGATCTTCCCTTCAAGCTCCTTGGTTAAGGAAGGAGCCAGATTTTCTTCCCCCCGGTCGACAAGAACCTGAGCGCCACTGACAAACCCACTTGTCGGGAAGCCAGACTCAGGGGTAGCGTGGCCTCGTATTTGGGCCCCATCCGGGCCCCAGGAATATTCTAGAAACTTTTCCTCTTACTGGACATGGTGAGAGTTCACAGAGAGGCGGTGGAGGAGTCTGAGGTTGGGGGAGAGCAACCATCCTGGTCTCCGAGGGCTCCTAGACCCGCCTCCCCGTCCCCGTGAGGCCCAGGGCCGCAGCCCGGAAGCGAGAGGCCAGGAAATGGGAGATCCAGGAATTCAGAACCAGGGGCGGGCAGAGCCCAGGAGGTTTTCCCTGGAGTTGCTGGCCGGCCAGTGTCCTCCGCACATCTCGCCTGCAAACTGCCCCTGACCTGGATATGGGGCTGCCTCGAATGGGACTGGAACTAGTAAGCCAAGAAAGGTGGGTGACTGCTCCCCACTCCCAGGGCCGGCAGTGCAACCTGTGTTTCTCGCCATCTACTGGCTTCCTTAAGTAAATTCAACCTTCTTTCAATTGAGATCAATTAAGACTGAAATTTTTAATAAGTAATTTAATTTTCAACTACATTGCAATTTTTTCTCCCTTTGCAAAATAAATTTAAATAAATATAAATTTAAGTAAAAATTTATTTATTTAAATTTAAATAAATTTTGTTTTTGTAGTGCTGCACTATATAGAACTGTCCTCTCGTTCAATGATTTGCTCGAGCGGGCACCAGTAACGTCTCCATTGTGAGACTTGTTGTTATTGTTTTTGGCATATCGAATATGCCACGGGGAGCTTGCCAGGCTCTGCCGTGTGGGCGAGATACTCTCGGTAGCTTGCCGGGCTCTCCGAGAGGGACGGAGGAATCAAACCGGGGTCGACCGCATGCAAAACACCCTACCCGCTGAGCTATCACTCAATGTTTTTGTAGGGTTTCTGGGGGAGTACACCTGGTGATGCTCAGGGTTTACTGCTGGGTCGGCTCTCAGGAATTTCTCTTGGCAGTGTCTGGGGGACCAAATGGGACGCAGGGGAATCAAACCAGGGTTGGCCATGTGCTAGGCAAGTGCCCTACCCGCTGTACTATTGCTCTGGCGCCTGGCCAAATCAATTTAACAAATGATTGTACAGATCTGATGGTACTGATCTGGTGTTCGATGTGACACCAGTGGTACCCGCAGGCCTTACGATATTCTAAGCCACCACGTCTATCGCTGGTTGTTTCAGTGGAAGCAGCAAAAGAGTGTTCCTTGGTTATGCAGCCCCATGAAGGTGGGTGAGATCTGATAAGCATGTTACTAAACATTTTAATTTCTACAGATGGTCTTTTGATCATAATACTGAAAGCCCCAAATCCACCTTTCCTGTGGGCTTCCGGTGACTTTTTTTTTAAGGGTCACACCTGGCGATGCTCAGGGGTTATTCCTGGCTCTGCACTCAGGAATTACTCCTGGTGGTGCTCGGGGGACCATATGGGATGCTGGGAATTGAACCCGGGTCAGCTACGTGCAAGGTAAATGTCCTACCTGCTGTGCTATCACTCCGGCCCCCCGGTGACTTCTTTAACTGGACAAAAGTTGAGGTGCTTACCTTGCCCACTGTCACCTCTGCTGACCCTGGTTCCCATCCCCAGCATCCCAGTTCCACATATGGTCCCGGGCACCACCAGGGGTCACTCCTATACCATGAGGAACAAACAGTCCCCATGTACTGTCAGGTGAGGCCCAAAACACAACGTCCATAAATTTAGATGTAGGTTTTTTTTTTTTTTTTTTGCTTTTTGGGTCACACCCGGCATTGCTCAGGGGTTACTCCTGGCTCATGCACTCAGGAATTACTCCTGGCAGTGCTTGAGGGACCATGTGGGATGCTGGGAATTGAACCTGAGTCGTCCATGTTGGCTGCGTGCAAGGCAAACGCCCTACCCGCTGTGCTATCGCTCCAGCCCCTAGATACAGTTTTTAAGTTGGAAAATGGGGCTGGCCCATAGCTGGAAGCCTGCCTCATGAGCTGGGGAAGGCGGCAGCTGGAATAGAGAAGGGATCACTGATGGTTGGAGGGATCGCTCGGGATGGGAGATGCTTGCTGACAGTAGATAAAGGACCAAAGGTGATGGCCTCTCTGTCTGTATTGCAAACCATAATGCACAGAAGTATGAGGGAAATTGACTGTCACAGAAGTAGGAGGAGGGTTGGAAGGGGGCGGGGGCAGGATACTGGGGACACTGGTGGTGGATGGAGGGATGGAGGGATGGGTGTTTGTTTGATCATTGTAGGACTGAAACTCAAACATAGAAGCTTCGCAACTCTATCTCACAGTGATTCATTTAAAAAAAAGAAAAGAAAAATGGGGCTGGAACGATGGTAGCGCAGGTAGTGCACTTGCCTTGCATACAGCTGCCCTGGGTTCCATTCCTGACACCATATATGGTCACCGGGACCCTGTCAGAAGTGACCCTAGAGCACAGGGCGGGGAGGAAGCCCTGGGAACAGCCGCCCAGTCCACACCCCCGACCGCACCTCCACCACCAACAAAAAGGACAAAATGAGCAGAAAATCTGTTCCTGGGAACTCAGCAAGGGCAGCTCGGCCTTCCTACAGCCTTGAGGTGGTCAGCCTCGCCACACACCTCCACGCTACCGCGGGTGCCTGGGGTCCAGGGAACCCAGCTGGACCGTCAATCAATTCCTCCCTGCAAAGGGACTTGTCATGGAGCGGTTTGGGGGGTTTTTGTTGTTGTTGTTTGCTTTTTGGGTCACCCCCGGCGATGCACAGGGGTCACTCCTGGCAGTGCTCGGGGAACCATATGGGATGCTGGGGACGGAGCCCGGGTCAACAGCGTGCAAGGCAAGCGCCCTCCTCGCTGTGCAACCGCTCCAGCCTCGAGGCGCGTGTCCAGAGCAGCGCAGACACCAGGCCCCACGGCCGCTGCCCTGGGCGCTGGGTCCGGCGGCGGACACGCGCGGCTGGGCTGCAGGCCGGCCCCGGCCACCCCCGCCCTCGGCCGGCCGCGCCGCGCTCACCCCGCGGACCACTGCAGCACGTCGGCGGGCTGGGTGCGGATCGCGGCCTTGGTGAACTGCTTCAGGATGTCGGGCAGCTCCGGCGGGATGTGGATCTGCTGCGCGCAGAACATGGTGTCGGGCAGCGGCATCGCCCTCGGGGGCCCGGGGGGCGCGGGAAGCACCCGGCTGCGCGGCGGGGCGCGGGCGGGGCGGGCGGGGCGGGCCGGTCGGCGTCGGCGCGCAGGGCGCGGGGGCCGCCCAGCCCGGGCGGAGGGGCAGGTCCCAGCGGGGCCGAGGTCCCGATCCGGGTCGGAGCTGGGGTCTCGTGGGCGCAGGCGGGCCGAGGCCGGTTTCGCGGGGCCCGGCCCCTTCCCCGCTCCTCCGGGAGCGCCTGGAAACGAGAGCCAACCGCCCCTTCCAGCAACCGCCCGGACTGCTGCGGGCGGTCTCCAGGCAACCGGGACGCCGCGGGCCCCGCCCACGCCAGGCCCCGCCCACGCCAGGCCCCGCCCACGCCAGGCCCCGCCCACACCCGAACCCCGCCCACACCAGCGGGCCCCCGACCTGCTCACCCGCAAGCCCACCCCCACACCGCCAGGCCCCGCTCGTCTCCGCCGGGTCCCCACCTGCCAGGGCCTCTGCTCGCCCTCCAGGCCCCGCTCAAACCCGCCGGGCCCCGCCCACACCCGCCGGGCCCCGCCCACACCCATCGGGTACCACCTGCCAGTCTCCGCCCACCATCAGGCCCCGCCCACCACACCACATCCCGCCCACACCTGCCTGGGCCCCACGTGCCAGGCCCCGCCCACCACCCCGGGCCCCGCCCACAGACTGACTCCGCGCATGCGCACTCCCTTGCTCCCAGGCTGTGCAACTGGTGTCTCTGGTCCCCTCCGCATAGTCTGGCCCGGGGTCTCTTCCCCGGCTCGCTGGTTGCTTGCAGCTGGCACGAGCCCAGCGTTTCATTTAGAAAGCTGCGATCGATTTCCTTGCGATCGATTTCCCTTTGCTACTTCCCCAAGGCGCTGCCCCAATGCCCTCTGCGCCCGCCACGGGAAACCAGGTTACAGGCGCCTTGGGGGGCTCCAAGGAAGAAGCGGTTGGTGGGATCCCCGGGGCCTCCCCCGTGCTGCTCAGGCTGGCTGCCCCCGAGCCTCCAGGCCCGCGCACGAGCTGGTCCCGGGACCCCCACGGGCCCTCCGGCTGCTGGAAAGTCAGAGTTCAGACGCTGGGCTGCGTCCAGCTAAGGGAAGAGGCTCTTAATTTGTCCTCCTGAGGACAAGGCAGTTGAGCCAACCTGACTGAATCTAGGAGGGTAAAGAAACCTCTTTCGAGCCCCCAGCCCCCAGTACAGCTTTGGGTTAGAAGGGCGGGGGCGGGAGAAACGCTCTCGGAAGCTGCTGAGGACGGGAGCGTGCAGAATGTACACCTGGGGGGTCACACACACACACACACACACACACACACACACACACACACACTCTAAACCAATAGCATAAGAGAGCGGGGAGAGAGCACAGCGAATAAAGTGAAATGCTTGCATTCACACACCCGTGCACAGAGCTGACCAGGGTTCAATCCCAGGCATCACATATGGTTCCCCGAGCACCACCAGGAGTGATTCCTAAATGCTAGGAGTAACTCCTGAGCATTGCCGGGTGTGGCCCCCAAACCAAAAATAGAGTTTAAAAAAATTAAAACTAAACAAATAGCATTAGCAGACAATGAAGACACTACTTGAAACCGCTGACAATCAGAGAGGACCGTTAATTAGGACGTCTGATGGGGGCAACCTGGCACTTCGGATACTGTCTTTGCAGCCTTACTGCTAGCAACTTAGGCTCCAGAAATGCTGGTCTGTGTCTGTTTAGGAATAGGGACAAAAGTGCTCGCTCCTTTCGTTTCCATTTCATTCGGTCTCCTCGACACAATGAAACACAACACAGCCAGAATTTTTAAACCGGGACACTCCAAAGGGCCTTCGTGATGGGGCTGGGGCTGAAGTGGAGAGCAGGTCCAGGGCTCGCTCCCGGGCACAAAGCTCTGCTGGGCCCCATGACCAACTAGGGAAAGTTGCTTGTGGGATGTCAAGTGTCTCGTGCCAATGCACGCTGACATGGAGCAGACCATCAACTACTCACACTGGTGGCCCCTGAGAACAGCACCGGGCACCCAGGTTATCCTTCCACCGTAAGTCCATTATTTGGTTCTGCGTCACTGCTTCCATAGACAGGGGCCCCTACGTCCCAGTCACTCTCTGGGAAGGACTGAGCACAGCTGAGTCACTAGGCCGACACTCAAGCGCAGGAATCATGAGAATAAGCCGTGGGCGGAGCCTCTCTTGTGAATATGATGGAGAGAGCAGGGGACCCTCGGGGGGCCACAGTTCTGAGCCACATCACCAACGTGCCACTTCAGCGTAAGTCAAGAGGTTGGTGTGAAGGACACTGAGGCAAGTCCAACAGCTAGGGGCAAGACCCTGAGATCTGACCTGCTCTGGGCGAGGAGTGCCCAGCTCAGAGTTCCCGGGGGGACAGTCCAGGACAGGTGCCTGGGGCAGACTCAGCATGGAGGGGTGGGGGGCAGGGGGCTGCTGAGGTCACAGTGCATGACTCCACAGTGGGTAGCGCTGGAGAGTTCTGAGCCGAGGAGTGCCCTGGTCCATCAGGATAAGTAGAAGGGAGAAGGGCAGCGAGGTCCAGGCAGGCAGTGCTCGCAGGAGAGCAGGTGAGAGGAGAGGCATCAGCGCACCAGAATACCTGGTTCCTTTTCAGGATGAGCCTTGCTGTCAGACCGGATGCGGCGTCGGGGAAAGAAGTGTCGACGGTCTTCCCAAAGACTCACATGTAGGCGTTCAGGAGCTTGTCCTACTGCATGTGACCAGCCCTGTGAGACCCCTGGCACCACCAGAAGCGACCCTTAAGCCAGCCAATTCCGAACCAATTGAAGATAGAATCAGGGCGAGGGGACAGCAGGTCTTTGGGACCTGGCGTGGGAGTATCTGAGACACCCCCGTCCCCCAGAGGCAGCGTAGGTCTGAGAATCTGGACTTGGGGGCTCAACAGCTGGATGGGCTTCAGAGAAGCCTTGAGTTTACCCAACACGGGAGGACAGAGGTCCCGAAGGAGTCCAGGACACGGGACCAGCTAGGAGCCCAGGAGTCTCTGCAGGAGTCCAGAGGAGGGAACAAGGGCTGGCGGCCACAGGCAGGGCTTTCCCTGTGCGAGTGTATCTGTGTGCTGGGGGGAGGGCGGAGAGCGAAACTCAGAACCTTGCGATGCTCATCAGCGACAGGAGCAGAGCTGAGTGGAGCTGGGCGAGGAAAGGGGAGGGACATGGGGACCCTGGGGGACAGTGGCACAGGCAGTTCTCTGCAGGCATTTGTTGAAAAGGAAAGTGAAAGAGAACAATGAAGGAGAAAGTGGGGTCTGGGCGTTGGCGGTGGAAAACACACCAGCAATGGCCGAATGCTGGTGGCAAACCCTAGTGTTCAGGAGGTGCCAGGAGGCAGAGTGGGCTGGGGCAGGGGGCACAGAGCATGTGAGTGGCAGGGCCGGGGCCCTTCTGCCAGGCCACGAGAGCTCCAGGGCACGTTGGCGCTGGTGCAAGAAAGAGAAAGCTGGGAAGGAGTTCAGCTACCATCACTCCCACACTTGCAGAGGCAGAGAGAAAGGCGGGGCCCGGTGGAAGAGGAAGAACAGAGCTTGTCTCTCTTAAACCATGGGGGAGGCGACAGGCAGTCATTGGCATGAGGTTGAAGCATACGACCTGAAAGTCTGGGCACACGTTTGCAGCCAGACCAAGCCTGAGCCCCTCCAAAACGGTGCTTCCTTCGTGTTCCTTTGAGTGTGAGTCTCCTGACTAACCTCACCCCCCTACAGATGGCTTTTCTGGGGGTGATTTTGAACTTCCAAGAACTGGACCATAAGGAGAGCATCCAGTACGTTTCGCCTCTTTTCATTCCAGAGTTATTCTGAGACCGCTTTGTGCAGCTTACACGCACAGCCCCCTTTATTTCTGAGAAGCACTGCGTTATATCAACAACCAGTTTGTACACTTCATTGCACGGGTAACCAACCAACAGATGGACACGTGGATTGCTCTTGCTTTCAGTGAGCTGTGAGCACTGATGAACACTGCACTGTGCTTTACCTGGAGACCACGAGAACATTTTTTACAGCAGCTCTAGCATGTCACGTTCACGCAGTCAGAAGACATGCTATGGTGTTTATTTTAGCTATTCTAGTGCGTGGGCTGAAGCAACAGCAAGCGGGCAGGGCATTTGCCTTGCATGCGGCTGACCTGGATTCGATTTCATCATCCCTCTTCGAGAGCCCAGCAAGTGGTTACCGAGTATCCCCCCCCACCCCATGGCAAAGCCTGGCAAGGCCCTGTGGCATATTTGAATGCCAAAAACAGTAACAAGTCTCACAATGGAGACGTTACTGGTGCCTACTCGAGCACATTGATGAACAATGGGAGGAGAGTGCTACAGCCCATGCGTATGTAACAGTGTATCCGTGTGAGTGGTTTTAATTTGCATTTTCCTAATGATCAGTTGGAAATCCAAGGAAGGAATGAGGTGTTGGACATCCTGTGTTTATCCTCTCTAGGAAAGTGTCCTGGCAAACATCTTACCTGCTTTTATAAACGAGCACACACAATCACACTTCGAGACCGCTACATACATCCTGAATGCATGGTCTTTCTCAAAGACATACTTGCCATGCCATTATCGGCTGCTGCTGTGTTGTAATGAAGGACTTTTAAAAGATGGTCCAGCAAGTCCCTGAGGCAAAGCAGCATGGAAAGGAAACTGTGACCGGGGCAGAGGCGTCCCGAAGCTCAGAGCCTGGACAGCCTGTAAGGGCAGGGCACGGGCCGTCTGCGCTGACCGGGCCACCTCACCAACCCTCCAGACCCTTGTGTCCGGCTTCCTCACAGCTTAAATCCTCCCTACAGGAGACCGTCTCTTTTGCTCAGTTTTCGGTTCTTTTTCCTTCAAACTATCCCACACCTCATTCGACAACACTGGGACCAAGACAAAGTACCAAGACTCAGCGTTGGTGGGGCTTCGACACACAGCCCCCGTATCTAGCAAGATCACTCTTCTGGTTTCAGTGAGGAGCTACCGAGTATGGGCCGGGGAGCCAAGCCAGGACCTTCC